GCATCATTCCCCGCGTGCTTGCCATGCGCCAGGCCTGGTCCAAGTCCGGCCGGGAGAAGCTGCGGCTGGACGAGGCGGGCGTGACGGACGAGGTGCTGGACGCCGCCATGCAGGCCTTCATCCTGGAGGTGATCGCCAAGCACGGTGAGCCGGCCCGCGTCCTCTGCAACAAGGACCCCTTCACGCTCAAGTCGTCCGTCTACTTGTCACGCCTGTTCCCCAACTCCAAGTTCCTGCTGATGGTGCGGGACGGCCGGGCCTCCGTGCACTCCATGATCACCCGCAAGGTCACCATCGCCGGCTTCGACCTCAGCAGCTACCGCGACTGCCTCACCAAGTGGAACAAGGCCATCGAGGTGATGTACGCCCAGTGCATGGAGGTGGGCAAGGACAAGTGCCTGCCCGTGTACTACGAGCAGCTGGTGCTGCACCCCCGGCGCTCCCTCAAGCTCATCCTTGACTTCCTCGGCATCGCCTGGAGCGACGCTGTCCTGCATCACGAGGACCTCATCGGCAAGCCCGGGGGCGTCTCCCTGTCCAAGTGAGTGGCGCCCCCGCCCTCCGCTCAGACCCCTGGTCCTGGAGTCAGAGGCATTTGGTGGGCAGGTCAGCTCTGCCCCTCCATGCTGTGTGGCCTTGGCCAAGTCACTGTGCCTCTCGGAGCCTCCTCTGTCGTCATGGAGACGATCTGAGAAGAGAGGGGTTAAGAGCAGATCCTTGAGCCAGATCTACCTCATAGCTCTGTGGTGTTGAACAAGCCGCTGTACCTCTCTGAGCCTCAGCCTCATGATCACTCCTTTCTTTTCTGAGAGAAGCAGCCAACTTTGAATATGCTTTGTAGTCAGCCATGGTGAGTAAAGGCTATATAGCTCAAGGTTGAGAGCCCAGATTCTGAAACCAGGCTGTCTGGGTTCAAGTCCCAGCTCTGCCACCTCTTAGCTGTGTGACTTTGAGCAAGCGATTCAACCTCTCTGTGCTTCTAGTTCCTCATCTGCCGCATGGGGATACAGTCTCTCCACCTGCTGTTCACAAGTGTGAACATCAAATAGGTTAAATACCCAGAAAATGGGTTCATAACATCTAAAGTTAGGTGCTGTAAGCCCCAGTATCGGCAGTTTAGTGCTGACCTGGCTTTTACTGGAGTACGCATCGGCCTCCCCAGTGCCTTCATTTATCGAGTGCCTGCTGTGGAGCCAGCACTGAATTAAGCCCCCAACAATCATTATCCCTTTAATCCCCATAGCAAGCTAGGGCATATTTGCTGCACTTATCCCCATTTTACAGATGAAGAAACTGAGCCTCAGGAGAAGTTACTGGCCTAAGGCCACATAGCTAGCAAAGTGTGGTGTCAGGATTTGCACCCAGGTCTGCTGGACTCTAGGGCGTGGATGCATCCTCCCTCCCCCTTCTGTCCCTCGTTGTCTGCCTTTTTCCTTTGGGGAGGCCATCCCTCTCTGGAGACCCAGAGCACTGGAATGGTGCAGGACCAGAGTGAGTTGGGCCATCTTTGTCTCTAGCCTGGTCTGGTACAAGCACCCGCAAGAGCCCAGTGGAAGGGTGGGCCTTCCCGGGACAACGCCTCTCCTTTCTTTCATGGCTGGACCCTCTTAGGCTCCATCCCTGGGAGCTCCTGAGCCCTGAGCTGAGCTGGGAGCTGACAGCAGCTCTCCCCTGGCAGTGAAGTGCCCATGGGCTGGGTCCTCCGGCCTATTGGTGCTGGAGCCAGGATTTTGTCAATCATCATGACGAAACATCAGATTACCGAAGAAATGCGTTCTGATTGTAGGAAGTTGGGGAAATACATAAAACAAGGAAGAAAAATAACCCATGGTCCCACCACCCGGATTTTGGTGTGTGACCTGCTGGTCCTTGGTCAGGGCATCTTCATAAAACCAGAGGCCTGCTGATCATGTGATTCTGTAACCTTTCTTCACTTTGTAGTTGGGGCCACTTGCCCATGGCCCCCAGCACTCTGCTGCGACATCATTTTGAAGGGCTCCATAATACTCCACCACATGATCCCCGTATTCTATTTAACTTCTCCTGTTGTTGGATAGTTTGGTTACTGACTGGCTCCCGTCCATGTTCTGTGACGCGTCTACGTGATTTCCGTCTCATAAAGTCCTGGAGACACAAGGCTGGTGGCAAAGGCCGTGCACCTGTTTGATCATGGCGGGTAGGTTCTCTGTGAATGTCTTTGCAGCGAGCATTTTGCTGTAAAAGACAAAATAATTGGCTGACTGGCAGCGTTGATTTCATGACCCTAGAAAATGATAACATGTCAGTTTCAGCAGCTCCTTCAGCGAGCTCAGTCATCCCTCCTCACCTGTCAAAACCGAAAACGTACCGAGCTGTGGCACGTAGAAAAGGGGCAGCTTGCCAGTTCACAGTGGTCTTCGAGAGCATCAGCGATCAATTCGTCAGTGGTTCGATTTAGCCAATTTAGAAACAACGGCTTGCTCTCTCCTGCCGTCTTCACCAGCTTTATCACACAGTGTTAGGAGTTGGAAACCAAAGAAGAATCAAGCTCTTTTATCCCCTCAAAAGGAAATGGTTACCTGATGCCTGACGAGTGTGAGCGTCTGGAAAATGGTGAAAATTCTAACAGAACCTGGCCTACATTAGCTCCCTGAAGGATTTGCAGAAACTGATCTGTTACCATTTTCTAGTCTAAGGTGTCGGCCAGTTATTTTATCTTTTATGGCAAAATGGCCTTGCGGCCAACCAGGGTGGGATGAAACTGCCTGTGGCAAAGATGTTTACAGAGAAGCTACTTAGAGCTGTATTCGGGATTTTTGGCACCCTGGTTAGAGTTGAGCTTTAAATCCAGGTCTGCAGACTCCAAATCCGTGTTTTTCCCACCAGTCCGCACCCTTTCACCCTCCCCAGTCCCCTCCTTCTTTTACTACATCTGTTTTTTTCTGTTTCTTCTTTTCCACATTATCTCTTAGTTGGATGGAAACATCTAGAAGTAGGTCTTCCATCCTAGGAGTTCCCCAGCCCCCATCCTGTATAGCTTCCGAAGTGTAATTGGTAAGATCTTCGTGGTTCAGATGCCCTGTTCTATGGGAGAGTAAAGAAGCATGTAGAAAATGATGGTGGTTCTGTTCTAAGAGCAAAACACTAAAAACAGTCTAACTGCCCGTCTTTAGGGGAATGGAAAAAGAATGAGGTACTGAGTGAGGGGAAAAAACCCTACAAACCAATACTATATATACCATATAATTTCTGGGTTTATTTTTAATTTTTTTGGAGCAGAGAAAGGTTTATTACTGGGCTGAGCAAGCAGAATGGGTAACTAATGCTCAAAACCCCCCAGACTCCCTGAAGGGTTAATTCCTGGTTTTAAATCTGCAAACAAAACTATAGACTTGCGGTGGAGGGGATAGCTCAAGTGGTAGAGCATATGCTTTGCATGCGAAAGGTCCTGGGTTCAAGCCCCAGTACATCCATTAAAATAAATAAACAGAAAACCTAATTACCTCCCATTCCAAAAAACAAAAAACAAACAAACAGATTTTCTATGTATACCTGTGCAGGAGAGAGAGAGAGTTACCACTTACAGAGACCTTACAATGTACTAGATACTCTTATCAGTAACTCAGTTACTACCCAGAACAGCCCAGTGAGGTAGATACTGGTTATGAGTCCCATTCCATAGATGAGGAAACAGGCTCAGAGAGGTTTAGCCACTCTCCCAAGGCCACCTAGCCCCGCTTGGTACAGCTGGCATTTGCACCAAGGTAGTCTGGCCCCCGAGTCTGCACTTAGTCGCTTGGCTTTTAAAAGCACAGAAAACCGATTGAAAGGATGTGCTCCAGAATGCTCAGGTCAGGTCCCTGTGGGGAGCTGATGGACTCAGAGTGATGACCACGGGGACTCTGAGGCCATTAGTGTTTTATAAATATTTCTCAAGAACAAAATACCCATCCCAGTCATATACATAAAACGTTATTTAAAAAAAGGCAGAGAGCTCAAGGAAGCAGAATTTTAGCACCACCAGTGTGCACTGCCCAGCGCTTTCTGCCAGCTTCCCACCGCTTGCTCTTCTCCCCGTTGCACAGAGCAGGTATGATGAGGCCAAGTAACTTGCCCACATTCTTAAAGTTGATGACGGCCAAGCGGTCTGGGGGCCAGGTCCCCCCAACCTGTTCTGCCCAAGCACCATCTGGGTCTGCCCCTGCCCCATCCAGCCTGTCCTCTCTCCCCAGGATTGAGCGATCCACAGACCAGGTCATCAAACCCGTGAACCTGGAAGCTCTCTCCAAGTGGACCGGCCACATACCCAGGGATGTGATGAGGGACATGGCCCAGATCGCCCCCATGCTGGCTCGGCTCGGCTACGACCCCTATGCAAACCCACCCAACTACGGCAATCCTGACCCCATTGTCGTCAACAACACACACCGGGTGAGTCCACCTGCATGCCTGGAGATGTGCGCTGGGGGTGCAGCAGGGGTGGAGGCTCTGGCGACCTGAGAAAACATTTAGTTTCTGATTCCTAAGCAGCTGGCTTGTTTCTATGTCATGGACATGGGGAATTGTGTGACTGCTTGTATTTCCATTTTTGCCTGGGCCACAAGGAAGCTCAAAACCAACTGGCAGTCTGTCTCTCATTCTCTGTAGCGTCTAATAGCAGGCCCATTTGTGCACTGATTTCATCCTCTTTCTCTCCTCTGATTTACCCTTTCTGTCCTGTTTCCCTGGCTGTTTGTTCATCTGTTTGTAAAGCATTTTAAGACTGGGTGTAAATAAATCAACACTTGCTCCCGTTCTTGCCCCCAGGAGGTTTAATGCTGATTTCGCAGACAAATGTGAGCTTCTGACAGTTTGAAGTGCTTTCTAAGTTCCCCTGAGTGTAGGTGGTCAAGAGGAAATGACTTTGAGAAGATGTTTTTGAAGCAGAAAAGTAGGTGCTGGGTTCTGACTTCCTCAGAGACACGAAGTTAATGAAAATATCTGAAAATGGGACCCAGGCCTGAGGAAGAGCCCTTCTAGCCTTAGTTAGTAAGATCTGGTGTTTTCATTTAAGCTAAAGCTTGACATTTCTGAACACATGGTGATTTTAGAAAGCAAAGTGTTCTTTATTTTTTTTTTAATTGCACTAAAATTTTTTATTGCAGTAGCCTATTAGTTTCAGGTGTGTAAGATAACAACTTGATATTTGTATACACGGCAAAGTGATCATCATGATGAGCCTAGTTACCCTCTGTCACCAGAGTTCCCAAATATGCACTACAGTATTATTAACTGTAGTCACCGTGCTGTACTTTACAACCCTGTGGCTCAATTTTTCTATGGCTGGAGAGTTGTGACCTCTTGACCCCCTGCACCCGTTTCCCCTCCCTCCCAACCCACTGGTTCTTGTATTGAATCATTCAATTCTCAGTACCTTCATTAAAAAGTTAATTATATAAATAAACAAACCTAATCCCCCCCCAAATAAACCCAAACAAATAAAACAAAACAAAACAAAAGAAATCTGACTAGTGAGATGTGATGAGTCCAAATTGAAAGGTGCTATGTATTAAGTGTGAAACACACACTGGGTTTTGAAATCCTTGTAACCCCCCCCCATAAAAAAGCATGCATAATTTCTCATTCGTCATTTTTATATTGATTACGTAGGGGAAGGAAGACTTCTCCCTTTTTCTTTTCTAGGTTCTTTGGCTGGCCTGATAATTAAATTGACATAAGACAGATTCACAGGAAGGAAAACAAATTTAATATCGTACAGACAATTAAAATATGAGATTCAACAGAAGTGATCAAAGCAGGCATCTTTTATACCTTTCAGACAAAGAAACAGTACGTTTGTGAAGAACTGATAAGACAAAAAAAATTTAGGCTTGGGATGGTAAATTAGTGAAGAATAACAAGGTTTGTTTACGCAGCCTTTTCGGCCCAGAATTCTCCATCCCTGGTGATAAGGATGCCTGTCTCCCATGCAGGAGGGAAGTCTTCCATGGGGGAGATTTATTTCCTGCTCTGAGAGCCACAAAGGAGGGTGAGAGTATCCTTCTTACAGTGGCTGTTTCAAAATAATTAATAATGCCAAAGTGGTAGACTTGGGGGCAACCTGCCCTGAACCCCATCAATTACATGTTGAAGTATTAATACTTTAGATACAGCAGGGTAAATTTTTAAATATCACTAGAATTCATTTCACCTATTTCTTTCTCTTTTTTTAATGTGGCTACTAGAAAATGTAAAATTACAGAGTCGTTTCACATTCCATTCCATTGGACAGCGCTGGTCTATCCGGTGCCTTGTATTTGGGAGAGAGTGGGAAGGCCTGGAGTTTTCTGGTTCCTACCTCAGGGCCTTTGCCCTAGCTGTGTCCTCTGCCTGGAATGCTCCTTCAGAGCTCAGCCTGCGGGTTTTCCTTGTCCCTCAAGTCTCAGCTCAAAGGTCACCTGTTCTAAGAGCCCTGTTTTGACCACCCACTTAAAAGAGGCCCCCCCAATCATGCCCAGTCACATCCCTTTGTCTTCCTCCCCTCCTAGCACTTCCCATGGTTTGATGTTCTTGTTTATTTGTGTTTATTGCTGCTTGTGGATCGTCTGCCTCCTCCCTACTCTAGAATGGAAGCTCCAGGAGAGTGGAAATTTTAATTATCTAGTTAATGTTGTGCCCCTCAGAGCTTAGAATAATGCCTGGAATAAGAAGGGTCAATGAATATTTGTTGGATGGATGCATGGATGAGTAGATGGATAGATGGATGGGTGGTAGGTTGGGTGGATAGATGGATGGGTAGGTGTGGGTGGGTGGGTGGGTGGAAGGATGGAGGGATGGATGGATAGGAAGGTGGGTAGATGTATAGATGGAAGGATGGATGGATGGGTGGATGGATAGATGGCAAAGTTAGGTGGGTGGATGGATGGATGGATGGGAGAGTGGATGGATGGGTGGATAGGTGTGGAAGTGATGGACTGAATTTTATTTTTGGATTATTTCGATGACAGTGATTTTTTTCCCCTCTTTCTTAGGTCTTGAAAGGGGACTATAAAACACCAGCCAATCTGAAGGGATATTTTCAGGTTAGAAACCCCGGGGGGATTCTGAATCTGGTTTAGCCCTGTCCAGTAGCTTGCTATATGCCCTTGGATACTTAACTTCTGTAAGGTGGCTGATGGGTTCCCCATCAGAATATTGGGTGGGGGTGGGAGTGGGGCCAGAGGCTCTTAAGTGTCTGAGCTACCTGGGCCATATCTCAGCAGCCCTTCCGCCCGAGCCCCTTCCTTCACCCTGTCCCTGGGCTTGAAAGCAGTTGGAGGGGCTTGGTGGGGACTTTCTGTCAAACTTTGTCACAGGCCTTAAATTCAGCCTCATTTAAAGTGGCAGTTCCCGAATCACCCAGTGCAAAAATTTCATCAGTACAAAAAAATGAGGGTCATGTGAGGCGGGTGTGTATGGGAATGTAGACATAATACACTCCTGTGTCCCCACACATCCCCACGGCCTGGCGTCCCCGTGTCCGTGGGAGGCTGTGCTTGAATCTTGTTGAGAAGAACCGCTCCCTGGACCGCCATTATAGCCGTCCGCCTTTTGCTGCCAAAGTGTTCCTTTCTAAATGAAGAGGTGGCACTCAAATCAGGAGTTTCAGTGTGTCTGTGTATTTAACTTGGCAAATGAAGAGTAGGCCACAATCCCCAGTTTAATCATCAGACTCACGAAGTCACATGGCTGGGGTCCTGCACATCTTGATTGTCTGGGGGATGAGTCCGCACTCCCTTTGTGGGAATCAGAAACCCATCTCTTGCCACTGTGAAAAAAATGTTGCCAGAATTAGTCAGCGCTAATTTGTTATTTGTTTTGACCGGAAAGATGATGTAACAGGAACAACAGACAGAAGTGAGGTGAGGGCAATTAGCCACCATCTAAAACGCTTCTCATTTTTACACGTTATTTTCTTGCCCACCCGGGTACACGTTTGCATTCGTTCTAATTCTATTGCACAAGCTGCTTGGTTTTGCTTTCCTTTTGTTTTTCCGTCTTTGGGGTCTCCCTGTTATTTCGGATGCATAGTATTCTCTGGAACGCATTATTTGCCACCAATTACTTAACTGTTGCCCTGAGATCATTTGCAATTTTGGTAGTATGGCGAAAGATGTCATGTACCTATCACCCTGATTTTGCCCCTCTTCTGTGGAGCGAGGGCTGGGGAAGCCCTCTAATGAATCTTTCCCATAGAATACGTTTTTAAGGCGTGGAATCAGTGGCTGGCAGGGTCCAGATCTTTCTGAGTCTCTTGAACAACAAGGCTAAAATTGTTTTACAAAAGAGTTGGACCGGTTTACACTCTCCTGCACTATCTGGTGTATTCAAGATGTCTAGCTGGCCTGACTGGTTTTTGCTCTATTAGGTGCAAAATATAAAGGAATGGGGTATGCTCTGTCATCAGCGCTCCCACTCTCAGGAGAGCTGCCTCGCAGATTACCTCGAACCCCTACTTTCCACCCTCATCTGTCCCCCACTGGGCACGTGACCTCACTCAGGGTATTGCAAAAATTGGAAACAGTCTTAGGACAACAGGTGAGTAATGGTGGTGCCTGTGTCCTACAGAATACTGTGTCGCCATCCAAAATGGTAATCGTGAAACCCCAAAGGTGGGGCAACAGGGAGCAAGCAAAACAAAGCGGCTCACACTTTAGAATCGCAACTCATGGAAAAATGTCTGCTCAAGCCTTATAAACGCCACACGCCCTCTCCCTTCCAGGTCTTTGCTGTTCCCTCTGCCAGGAATGCTTTTCCACTCAGATCTGTGCATGACTGGCCTCAGTTTCAGTTTTAAGATCTTTGCTTATGGGGTGTTTTCCAGCACCAACCACCAACTCTCTCATTCTCTGGATACCAACTGGGTGTTGCATGATTCAGTTCAGTTCTGACACCAATTCCCAGAGAGAGCGTCTGACCCCACAGGTTGAGGACCCAGTGCCACAAGACTGTCCCCACTTCAGATACCTGGGCTACCCACATTTCTGCCTGGCCAGCCACATACCTGGGGGTGCCCCGACCACCCCCCCACAAGTTTGGTAATTGGCTAGAACAATTCAGTACTCAGGAAAACACTTCACTTCCTATATTACCGGTCTATCATAAAGGCTATGTAATTCCGGGAGGGAGGGCCAAATGGCGGGGATGCGGTGTGGGGCGGGGTATGGGGGAAGGCGCAGGGCCTCCAGGCCCTCTCTGCCTGTACCACCCTCCCAGCGCCTCCATGAGTTCCCCAGTCCCGAAGCTCTCCAGACCCCGTCGTTCAGGGACTTTTGAGGCGGTTCCATTCAGTAGGTGTGACTGATTAAGTCATCTGCCATCGGTTATTGATCTCCAGCCCCTCTCCCTTCCCCAGAGGTTGGGGTTGGTGGGGGAGGAGGGGAGCATGGACATTTCCAACCCTTTGATGTGCCTTGGCCTTTCTGGTGCCAGGAGGGGGCTGCCCAGCCACCAGTCATCTCATTTGCATACCAAAGATGCTTTTTATCACTCAGGAGATTCCAAGAGTTCTAGGAACTTTGTGCCAGCAACCCAAGGCAAAGATCAAACGTGTAGTTTTCATCACACCACAGCTTAAATGTCATCCCCTGGTAGTGGCCTTGCCCAACTGCTGTGTGTGAAGTAGCCCGGGACCAGTCACTCATATCAGCCCACAGTACTGCCTGGACTTGATGGCATCCTGTGCACGTGTCTGCTGAGCAGTCTCTCCCACCATGGTGTGAGCTACGTGAGACTAGGACGGGGTCTGTCGTGTTCACAAGAGCCCCAGCACCTGGCACGTAGTACATGTGCAGCAGATACTCTATGAGGGAGTGTGCGCAACTCAGCGATGCGGAGGGCGCCGCCACCTGACCCTGACCTGTGCTCTGTGTGTTGTCTTTCTCCAGGTGAACCAGAACAGTACCTCCTCCCACTTAGGAAACTCATGATTTCCAGGTGGGTCTGCGGACTTCGCTGGGGCTCCGGCCACTTCTGAGCCCAGGAGCCACTTAACTCCCGAAAAGCTCCCTGGGGGAGGAGCGGCCACCAAGGTGGGCTGACCCAGCCCCATCCGGAGGTTTCCATGGTGACAGCCTATTTATAGAATCAAGGCTTAGTCTCTGAGCTCTGGATCAGGAGTGGGGGCAGGGATCAATGCTGAACCAACCAGAAGAAGGTTTGCCTGGCACTGGTGGGGGGAGGGGACAGAAGACCAGTGTGACAGGGGGCTTCTAGAACCATTTTGCACAGAATGCTGTCTGTCAAGCCAGCCTCTATAATCAGCATCGGCTTCGCCCAGAGCAATTAATGTTCTAATCACAGTCACAAGCAGTTCTGGTCTAAGAACAGCCCAGACTGCATTGGGCCAGGTGTTCCTCCAGGGTTACTCATTTAACCCTCAGCATCCCTGGGAGGTGGATGACACGACTTTCCCATTTTATGAGGGAGAATACCAAAGCCCAGAGAAGGCCTTTGACTTGCCCAAGGCCACACAGCCACCAAAGGGCAGAATTCCCTCCACAAGTCATCTCCCTCAGGATTTGCTTTTAATAAGCAATGTTAAGTGCATATTTATCCATCCCTTTTTGGCTAAGGGGTAGGGAAACAGGTTCTGAACTTGGGAAGTCAAAGATTTAAGAACTCACTCCAGACTTCTCTTGGCCTCTGTTTTCCCCATCTGGAGAATGGGTTCTTACCTTCAAGGGTGGTTGTAATGAAGTGAGCCCAGGTGGGAGTGCTGGGCCCCTGCTGTGGACGTGGGCACTGGAGTTAAGGCTCCAACGAGTGAGCTCACTTCCTCACGCCCCACCAGCCTTTCTGATCAGGTGCAAGCAAACCTGGGGGGACTCAGAGAGGCCAGAACCAACCTGCTGGGGTATTTTCCCTATTCTTTTAAGCTGTAAAAGAGCTTCTAGCCTCAAGTTTATTTTTAGTTCCTTTATCTTGTTTGGTTTTTTTTTTTAAGTAAATAGCATATTTAAAATTTTTTCTTGAAATCCACTTTGCACCAGCTCACAAGGCTGGAGATGCTAAGTCACTGTCATCACCCGGGGTTTCCTGTCTCAAGCTGTGCTGAGATCCAGGACTTCTGTTTCATTCCAAAGAAAGGGATCCTCACATTGAAAGCAGCCTTTTTCCATGTGTCTCCCCAGCTCAGTTCCCCTCACTCCTGCAGATTCATTAGTCCAACCCTGAACCTTCTCGTTGACAGAAGCCAGATATATTCTTTGCTTTACTGTTTAGATGAGGTATCATGGACAGGGTGCTTTGGCTAGTCCCTGGTAGAGAATTGCCCTTGAACAAAGGCTGCCCCTTCCCTGGACTCCAAAAAGTCACTGGCACTTTTCACATATCATTGCCATTTGCTCTTCATAAATCAGAAAAGTGTGTCTTTGAGGTCAAGTGGCAGCAGGTTGAGGGGTGGGTAAGAACCCAAGAAACGTATTTAAATGTAAATTCTCTCCAACCCTCTGGGATGGAATAGAAAATCTCACAAGCTCATGTGAATGCATGAAGACCATCCCTCTGTAATCACACGTATAAATATAAAAGCTCTATTTCGGAATTGTTACTCTGGGCCTAACGCCTGTTTTTCTCCCCTCTCAGATCTCTGCAAATGGCTTTGTTGCCGGAAGAGAAGAAACTTTGCATTCGAGTGGAAATCGGACCTCTAATCCAAGCATATTGCTTGCTATTAATCGCCAAATCTGGACAGCTCGTGAGAAATGTATTTGCATATATTTGCAAAAAGCTGAACATTGAAAACTTAACCTTAAAACACTCTATCTTAGGACAATCCGGGGTAGAGAAGCAACAGTGTGGAAGAGTTCGGCTTTTGAAACTTAGATATTTTATATGTTTCCCCCTCGAGAACTTTTTCTTTTGAAGAAAGGGATTTGCCATCCTCCTTAATTTGCAGGACCACCGTGGTGGCTTTGTTTGCTGGGACAAGGCCCACCACCCGTGCCTCTCCCATTAACCCTTAACTTTTGAATTCAGAGAATCTATTTAAGAATTTAATATATGAGGCTTTCTTTGATTCCTCCTCAGTTCTACTCAGTTTCACAGAGGAAAAAAAATATATATTATTTGAATCAACTGAACAGGGACTCATTTGTCCATGCCTTGCTTTACAGAGTGAGTAGATTTTTTTCCCTCCGTGTTGTTTTGTCAGGTGGATTGATGGTGAGCCAAGGCTGGAGAACAGGTCCACGCAGGGCACGGCTGAACTCCTGTGTCGAGGATCCCCAAGGCCACCCCTGGGTGAAACGATTTGCTAGAAAGACTCAACAGATCTCAGAAAACCAGTTGGACTCATGGTTACGGTTCATTATGGTGAAAGGATACAGATGAAAGTCAGCAAGGGAAAAAGGCGTCCGGCCTCGTTCACGGCACAGGGCGGAGTGCAGGAGAGCTCAGGCACCAGCCCCCACATGTCCTCTCCTGGTGCGGTCTGACGGATGAGCATAATTTTTCCACCAGTGATGGGTGACCACATGCACGAAGTATTGCCAGCCAGGAAGGCTCACCGGGGCCGTGGTGGGCAGCATTTTTTACTGGGCATCAGTCACAAAGCTGTGGGACAGCCAATGACTGCCCTTAGTTTCTTGGTCTCTAGCCCCTCCAAAAGTCAAATGATACACAGCATGACCCGAGACTCCCCCGTCACCATAAATCACACCGTTAACATAGACTCTCTGGCTTGGTGTGGCGCAGGGTCCTAGGTATATACAAAGACATTCTTATCAGTGAGGACATCCCAAGGGCTCAGAGATGAGCTCCCAGGAACTGGTCACGGGCCAGGCCTTTGCTTGGCACGTACAGGGTTTGAATTCTCCAAGCCTGCCGAGTTAGGCCTCAATTGCACAACCCCCAAATGCTTAGGGATCAGCCGGACCCAGAACGGTTTCATATCTTTAAGGGCTAAATGTTTTGCCCACGCTATCTTGCCTTAGCTCTGATGATAGCAGTGGGGCTTTGGGAAGGCAGTGACTCACAGGGGCGTGGAGTGTGGGAGTCAGGCCAGTGGACCAGCTGTGTGGCTTGAGCCTCTGTTTCTTCATCTGTAAAATGGGGAAGTTAGAACTTCCTGGCTCTACTGGGAGGGGCTGATGGGTGACATGGGTGGTGGTGCCTGGGATGTGATGAGCCTGCCGTGTGAGGCAGCTCTTGTCTCTCCTTGTCTTGCGACAGCAGTGGGATGGGCAGTTGGAGCCATGGACACTGGAAGCTCGTGGTCACCCCTCAAGGGGTAGCAGAAGACATCCAGCCTCGCTCACTGTCCCACTCACCTGGTGCTGCAGACCAGCCAGCCCCCAGCTTTGGGACTTAAAACCATTTGTTTTGTTTTGTTTTGTGGCGGGGGGGTCATTGGGTTTATTTATCAATTTTTCTTTTTAAAGGAGGCACTGGGGATTGAACCTAGGACCTTGTGCATACAAAGCGCGCACTCTACCACTGAGCTATGACCCTCCCCCTGTTAAAACCATTTGTTGTTGAATCGCTCTGGGAGTTCACTAGAGCGAGCTCAGTGGTTCGCATGGTCAAGTGGTGGCCAGGACTTCTGTCCTCTGAAGGCTTCTTCAGTCACATGTCTGGGGCCTGGGCTGGGATGGTCGGAGCACCTAGAGGCATCTCCTGGTGTCACTGTCATGTAGCCTCTGCACGTGGCGAGCCCAGGCTTCCGCACAGTGTGGCGGTCTCAGGAGTGTCAGATTCCCACATGGCAGCCGGCCTCCCCCAAAGCAGACGCCACACAACTAAGGGATAGGCCTGGACCTAGTGCAGTGTCATCCAGGGCCCTCCTGCATTCAAGGGAATGGAGAAACAGACCCTCCTTTTGATGGCACAGCAGTAGGGTCACCCTGCAGAAGAGCAGGTGGGTGAGAGAGACGGTTTCGCCGACTTTGGGACATAGAGTTGGTCACAGTCATCATAAAAACCAGTTCATCAGCCTCTCCGGCAGGTCATCAAATAGCATATGAATTCATCAAATTAATTAGTTTCAGGGGGGAGGGTACAGCTCAGTGCATGCTTAGTATGCACAAGGTCCTGGGTTCAATACCCAGTACCTCCACTAAAAAAAAAATAGATAAACCTAATTAACTCCCTCTGCAAAAAAATTTAAAAAGAATAAAAATAAATCAAGGGTCTCCCCCCCTAATTTTTTTTATTAGTCTCTCCCTGGGAAATGCTGATGACATCAGAATGTTCCGTCTCCAATTAGGGTACAAAATAGAGAGATACCTTTCCTTTACTATTTAAGTTACAATAATTCCAGCTCCCCCAAAAGGTTAGGTCATCAAAAACCCCAGGCTTCTTTAAGGTCCCCCAGCCTGGGACAAGGGACCGTCCTTCCCACTGACGAAGCTACTCCAGGTCTCCTCAAGCCCCAGATCTGGGCCTGGACCCAGGAGGACCTCTCTCACCCCTGTCCTCCTCGGTTTGTTGGTTCTAAACAAACGCTCTTCAGGAGAATTAACAATGAGAATGTCATTCCTTCAGGTGGAAGCGCTGGCTCCGCCCCGCAGGGCGTGCTCTTGGCCAAGTGGCCCTACTCCAAGGTCAGTTTTCCCAAGTCTGCATTATTCTGAGCTAACCTTGTTCCATTGTAATAGCTTGTGTTTTAAACGGGTGGTTGGTTAACTTTTTGTTTTGAAATAATTACAGACTTACATGAAGTGGCTAACATTGTCCAAAGAGCCCCCTGTATCCTTCATGCCGTTTCCCCCAGTGCTGGCATCGCACACAACTACAGGACAGCATCAAAACCAAGAAGTGGCATTAGGACAAGGCTGCTAACTGGACTGCAGACCACACACCTCATTCAGTTGTCGCCATTTTTTTTTTTTGCTTGTATTCACATGTGTGTATTTTCAAAGTTGTTTCCTTCCTTTAGTGGCAGAACCTTCCATTCCTCCCCCCCCCACCTCCCCACACGGAGCATCACAGGTAACAACTCAATCTCTAAGACAAATGAAAATGGTGTTCTGATGAGGACCCTGGCCCTGTCCCAAACTCCAGCTACTTCTCTTTGAAGCACTTTGTCATAGTTAAGGTTTTGTATCTGTTTGCCTGGTGATTTGATTTGAGTTGATCTCACCAGACTGTAAATGGCATGTGTGCAGGGACCAGTATATTCATTGGTCACTGTTTATTCCCACATCATGTCCAGTGTGTCACAGCCTGTGGGAGCCAGCTTCCAGCATGCTCCATGTGGTCCTCGCCTCCTGGTGGTCCCTTCTGTGTGTTGTCCCTTTCCCCAGTGAATAGGGACAGGATTCCAGATGAATACAGGGTGGATGGTTAAAGTTTCAGAGAAAGCAATGAATCATTCTTTTAGGATTTTGCAATATTTCATGGGACATACATAGACGAAAAAAATCTATTCCTTTCTTATCTGAAATCCAAGTTTAATTGGGCATCCTGTGTTTTTATTTGCTAAATCTGGTCATCGTAAATCGGGCTGACTGTAAAACCAATGAGATATTAGGGAAATGACAGTGTGTGATTTCTGAGACTTGCTCATATCTGATCACGTGGCTTCTGCCTTGTCTCTTGGTTCACTCATTCCCTGGGGAGGCCAGTCACTATACCACAAGGCCAGTCAGCAGCCCTGTGTAGAGGTGCACGTGGCAGGCAGCTGAGGCCTCCTTCCACGTGAGTGAATCACCTTGAAAGTGGACCATCCAGCCCCTGCAAGCCTGCAGGTCACTGCAGTTCCAGGTGACACCTTGATGGCAGCCCCAAGAGAGACCCCAAGTAGGAACCACCCGTCTAAGCCACTCTTGAATTCCCACCCATAGGAATTGTGTGAGAGAATCTTCCCTGTTGTTTCAAGCCACTAAATTTGGAGGAACTTCTTACACTGTAATAATACATAGGAACTGATGAAATACTTGTGAGTGAGTGAATGATGAGGGCCGCCTGTCCTCGCCTCACCTGTATCCTTTTGAGGATGCTTGCTTTACACATTGTGCCCCAGGCCTGCCGAATCTCATGTCCCAGCTTTCTAGATAAGGATGGTGTTCACAAATTCTTGAAAGATAAGTAGGGTAGGAACCATCTGTCAGAAACATTGAAAAGGAAACCAGATTTGCTAATCTCAGCTGATCTGGATTTTCAATTTAGCCAAGTTCGGGACATGATATATATATCTTTGGGACAAAACTCCAAATAAGAATAAGCCACGTGCAACTGTATAATGTCACTGTCCTAGAAAAGGTACTTGTGCTAGACTTTAAATATATCATCTTTGAAATGCCACTTACAGGTTGTTTCTATGGTACCAACCTATTTAAAGTTGTAACTGAGGGAGGATTTTTTCCTCCCCCCACCCCAAATCTTCTGAAGGCAATGTGGAAACAGGGCTGCACAGCATACGCAGCTTTAGGAGTGGAGACTCGGGTGGTAATGGAAAACTACTTTGGAATGTTGAGGAGTCAAAGAGATGATATATATGGAGGTTTTGTCTTTGTGAGCCTGAACAGACGGGAATCACTCTGTAAGTATTAGCTCAAATAAGTGGACAGAAATGGTGTGGGCCCCATGCATGGTACGACAGAGAAAGAACTGGCCTGACTCTGCCCTAAACTCTCTGTGTCGCCCTGGTACCTCCCCTGTGGCACGGACTCCTCTTGCTCCTTCATGAAAAGGGAGGGATGGACCCATGAGTGTCCAAGGGCCCTCCCTGCCAGCCTCCTGCTGAGCAGCCTTGTTGCCTGGCAACGCCTTCTAGGAAGGCTCCATGTCTGAGCACCTCATTGGGAATCTAGACACGGGCCTGGATGTCCCTGGGTCCCAAAGCAAGAGTTTGTCTGGGCAGTGACAGGAGACCAGGCTGAGTATGAGATCCTGAAACTAAACCTCTGGCTGCCTCTCTTTTTGCTTTTCCTCAGGCTGTACATTTGAGTCTAAAAATCTGGAAAAAAAAATAGTCACTGATCTTCAAGACTAGAGACTGTCTATGCAGAGATATGTGACTAGGTCTTTCAAATAGAAAGACCCACAACCATTTAAGAAGATCTTACTATGCCAGGAGCTTTACATGCATTAAGTAGCCTCCCCTACCCCCTTTTTTCTTTTTGGTCCTGGAAACAACCCTTTTAGAGCAGTACTATCTTTACTCTCATCTTACAGATGGGAAAACAGGTGTAGAGAAGTGAAGCAACCTGCCCCAGGCCCCATATCTAGGAAGCAGCAAAGTGGAGATTTGGATCCTTGAGGTTTACTCCAGAACCTTCATTAAAAAAAAAATCTATGTACATAGAGAAAACATTTTTTTTTCTCTTAATCATTTGAGATTAAATTGCTTACGTTATGCCCCATCACTCCAACAAAGACGTTCTCCAATGTAACCGCAGGACAGCCATCAAAATCAGGAAATTAACATGGACACATCACTACCGTGGAAACCACAGACTCCATTTAAGTTTTGCCAGTTGCCTCAATTACCTCCTTTATAGCAAAAAGATGCAGTTCAGAATGCTGTGCTGCATTGAATTGTCATGTTTTTTTAGTCTCCTTCAGTATGGAACAGTTACAGTGTCTTTAACTTTCATGACCTTGGCACTTTTGAAGGTTACAGACCAGTTGTTTTGTAGAAATCCCTTTATTTGGGTTTGTCTTCCATATCCTCATGATTCCACTGATGTTTGACAGGAAATCATGGAAGTGATGCTGCAATCTTCTCAGGACATCCTAGCAAGTGATTTCCATTTGTCCCATTCTTGGGGTTGCATGCTCTGATCACCCGATCAGAGCCTGTACTCTTATTGACCCCACAACCATCTACACATTTTCCTTCTCCAGAAGCCACGTGGTAGGGTCCATTTGGTGAAGCAAATCCGCTTGCATTGGTCCCTCAGCATCAAGTAACTGCAGATCCACAAAATCTGCTGTAAAGCTAAGGGCATAGCTACAGAGAAGCCAGGCTTACATTTATTTTTGGCTTTCGCCTACCAACAGATGCATATACATTTTTAGTTTCAGGATTAAAACGGTTTATCTTGTCTTCTTGTTTCCCTCCCTCTGCTTCCTAGTGGATCTTTCAGTCTGTAAGACTCTCTCCCCCTGACCTTCTCCTCTACTAAAACCTCACTTTCTAGTGTAAACAAGGAGGACCCTGTGGGGACTTCCCAGGGCAGACCCCTCCCCCATATCCTCTGCTGTATCTCCTTTCTAAAGTACCCAGATAACAGTATCTAGTGCATCTTTCATGGGTGTTTCAGATGCTAAAAACCTCCACCAAATGGAAGAAATTAACTACTTGATGATGATGAGCACGTAGCAGACCTGGTGCCTAAGGATTGATCACCATCAGCCAATAAGAGAATTGTACACAGCTGATCACATACCCTGGGATGCCCCTCCCTCAGCTGGCCTTTAAAAATGCTCAGCTGAAACCCTTCCAGGAGTTCAGGTTTTTCTGAGCAGGAGTCCACTGTTATTGCTCGACCCAGCAATAAATCTTTCTTTGCTCTAAATTCATGTTTTGGTATTTTCTGGCTTCACCGTACCTTGGGCACACGAACTTGTGTTCAGTAACATTACCACAATGTAGGCCCTCAGTACATTTTTGTGAGATTACTGAATGGATATATTTACCAACCTGCTGGAAAGGAAGAGATGGAAAGAGTTCCTGGAGGGAATACAGCTCTAGGGTTTAAACTGCATAAGGCAACTGCTCTGTGCCCACGACGGTGCTTACACTGAGAGACCCAAAGATCTAGGAGACATTCTTCCCACTTGAATGCCATGTCCCAGCTTCCCAACTGCCTCGCACGCAACTATGCCGTGAGCTAGTCCTAAACGCCTATTTTGCAGATGTAGGATTTCAGGCTGGCAAAGGAGTCTTCCTAGGCCAGCGTGGCTCGGCCACATCCACCGTAGTCCTCACAGGCTGGGAGTCGCCACGAAGCGGGTGAGACAGGGAAATCATCCTTCAGCCATTCCAGGCCATGAAAATCCTCTCTAGCGGCTCACCAGCTCTAGATCCAAATGCCACCCTAGCGTCCCATCGCTGGCATGGCAACCAGCACGGCATTTCCGCTGTCGGAAAACGTCATTTCCGGAGCGCCTGTCCCGGCTCTTCCCAATTCCGGCCCATCCGGGTACCGGCCCCAGAGCGGCGCGCTTCTCGTACCGGGCAGGCAGGTGTGTTTGGTGCGCTGAGCCCGGGAGAGGTGAGCCGGCCGGGGAGTGGACAGGGGACACGAGGGAGTCCGCGCCCTGGGAGTCAGGGCTCGGGGAAGGCGGGCCTCGGCCTCGCGGGTTGCGCTTTCCTTTCGCAGACAGCTTTGCCTAGGCGGGTCCACTCGGGGTCACCGGGCAGTCGGGGCCTGGGCCGAGCCTCCGCCACAAGGCCCGGGCAGCACGGCAGGGAGACGCCCGAGCCTTGCCAGCCGGGGAACCTAGGGCAAGTTGTTTAACTGCTCTGAGCCTCGTGTTGCTTAACCAGAAGCGTGGAAACGCTAATAGTGGTTATCTCGTAGAAGCGTCTTGACGCTTGTATTAGATTATCACTCTGAAGCGTCCAGCAAGTGCTTAGCACTTACTGAGGGTTTTGTAACGCCTGACAAGTCTGTGATTTTTACCATGCCCTGTGCTCAAGGAGGCAGCGGTTGTTAGTGACTCCCACGTATCTGGCACTCCCCACCTCCTCTGAGAGTGTTTCCCTCCTTTGCGCGCCTGGATGAGGCTGGGACTAGCAGCACCCAACCTGTGCACCAGCGAGTCGAACAGTCAGGAAAAACTTTCTAACAGCTGACAGAGTTTGACGTTGCCTGTGGAAGTAGCGTCCTCCCTGTTTCTAAAGGCTCCTTGCAGCAACTTGTAGGCAGGAGTTAACAAGTGATGTCATATTTTGAATGTATTGCTATGTGGTGCACCCTGCTTGGCACTTCGTGGGCATTTACTACTCATACATCGAGTACCTGGTAGAGTCAGGATTTGAACTCAGGCTGTGATTTTAGCACCTGATGTCACAGTCACTTTGCTGGGTTCATCCCCAGGTCCAGTAATGGTTAAGGGCATGAACCTGATGATGGGACTATGGTATCAGCTTTTGCTACTTAAGCATTTATTGTGAGCTATGTGTGTTTTAAGCCCCATCTCATTGTATCCGCCTTAACAAGCATCGTATAAGATTGGTACTGTAGTTAATCCATTTCAAGAGACTGCTAAGCTAAATCTTATCACTCAGCTGCCAAGAGTTGAATTCTCTGTTCCAGTTCACAGGTGTCTGACTGTTAAAGTAGTGTTTATCATTTTCAGTGCCTTCCAGCTCATCAGGTTTGTGTTTTGAGGGAGGAAAATATAGTCTCAGGGTCTTATTCAAATAATGTATTTCAGAAAGTATCTTCTTAAAAATACCACTTTTCTGTGACTGTCAAAGGTCCAGATAAAGCTCTTTACTTGACAGTAGAGAAAATAATAAAATCTGGGGTCCAGGAAGATGTCTACCCAATTTCTGGGGCAATAATTCATAGAATAACATACTTACGTGGTTGTTTTTATATAGTTTATATATACGTGTGTGTGTGCTGTTTTACGACATTGACTAGGACAAGGAAATACATGCTTAAAAATCACAAGGACTGTTGGGACTAGTCTTTTGTTCCACCTGTTTTAGTGCTTATTATTCCCTAAAATATGGTTTTAATGTCTGCTTTATTGTAGCAGTGATTTTAGTGAATTTTGACTTTGGGGGGAGTCCTGAAGGCAGCAAGGAGCAGGGACTCACAGGCAGGCTCCCAGGACTTGCCACAGACTGTGCCTTTTTCATCCCTTTATTTAGTGACAGGCCATGTCGCTGTCCCACTTGTACCGGGATGGGGAAGGCCACATGGATGACGATGAGGATGAGCGGGAGAACTTTGAGATCACCGACTGGGATCTCCAGAATGAATTCAACCCTAACCGGCAGCGCCACTGGCAGACTAAAGAAGAGGCTACCTACGGAGTGTGGGCCGAGCGAGACTCGGATGAAGAGCGGCCCAGCTTTGGAGGCAAACGGTATGGTTGGCATGGGGCTGCTTCCCCAGGAGTTGGGGAGATACCCTACTAAACACATTTCCCTCCTGGCCTCACCAAGTCTTTAGCTGTGACAGTACTAGGGTGTCCAGTTCCTCTGAGACCAGAGTGCTGTACTTTCACGGATTTAACCATTAGTCGATATTTATTGAGCAACTGAGTGTATCAGACCTTGGCTGTAGATCCCGTACTTGTCTCCCAGGAGCCCAGACTCTAGTGGATGGAGACGGGCATTAATCAGCAGCTCACACAGTGGAAGTTTGTAGCTGTGATTTGGGTTTAGGGTGTTTGACTTTTCTGGGAGGTCAGGGAAGCCTGGGTGGTGGGGGAGGCGTGAGAAGCAAAGGCCCTTGATGGGAGGCAACAGGGTATCCAGGGGATACGAGAGGTTTCATGGCTGCAGTGGGGAGATGGAGGGGAGTGTAGTTTGAGAAGATGCCGTGGGTTTGTGTAGAGAGGCTGTGACATTGTTGGGGTGTGTCTGGAGGAGCCCCTTTGCTCATGTGCAGAGTTGGCGTGGAGCCACAGTGGAAGAGAGGGCTCTGTGAGGAGGCCCAGGAGTGGTCCCTGCCGAGGTGGTGGAGCCCTGGGCTAGGATAGTGGCAGGAGGAAGAGGGTTGAGACCAAAAGCCTCCTCCTTGGTGTGAAGTCGTGTGCGCTGGCTGCAGCTCGCTTGACCAGAGTGTGTAGCAGATTTGGCTTTGTCTCCCTGTCCCCACCTGAGGCCTGGAGGCTCCAGTCCATCGAGACTCTACATTTTTCACAAAGGAGGCTGGGGAGAAAGACCACAGAGATCAGTTCACCCTCTTCTCATCTGGCAAGAAATCTGAAAGTGGATGATGACTAGATCAGGGGTGAAGAACTGCATGATGTTAAGATGGTCATAGCAGCCAAAACCTAGTCGGTGCCTGCTTGTTCTGGGTTCTTCACAGGCCTGGTCTCATTTACCTTTTGGGAAAGTTACCATTATTATTTCATTTTACAGATTAAGAAACTGTGGCCAAAAGTCATGCAGCTAAGCTGTGAAATCTGGGCCTGTCTGACTCTAGAGTTGGGCTCTTATATAACTTGCGTCTAGGAAAAAATTCTCTGAATTTTATTGCTGCCACGAGGATGTTTATTTACTAGGTTATTCATTTTATAAAGCATCACCTTATTTTGCAATATTTCCTGGGGTTTTTCCATTGGAATCTTTTCTGTGTTCCTTTAACCAGACAAGGTACCAACTCCAGTTTATACAGAAGGGAACTGTGGCGAAGGACTTATTGTCAGTGCTGTTCTTGAAGCAGTCAGGGTTAAAATCATACTTTCCATCTTACAGAATTAATTTTTCAGGTATTCAGTTTTAATAAATTTAATGGACATGAGCTTTTTCTAAGAATTTGATTGATAGAATTGCTAATACACTTTCCATTTATGTAATCTATAACTATCTTTTATTTATGATTTTTATTTGTCAGAATGTCTTGTATATATATTTTTATTGAAGTACAGTCAGTTTACAATGTGTCAATTTCTGGTATACAGCACAATGCTTCAGTTAACACGAACATACATATATTTGTTTTCATAACATACACTTATGTTTTCATATTCTTTTTCACTGTAAGTTACTACAAGATACTGAATATAGTTCCCTGTGCTACACAGTATAAACTTGTTTATCTGTTTTATATATATTAGTTAGTATCTGCAAATCTTGAACTCCCAATTTATCCTTTCCCAACCCCTTCCCCCGCTGGTAACCATAAGTTTGTTTACTATGGCTATGAGTCTGTTTCTGTTTTGTAGGTGAGTTCATTTGTCTTTTTCTTGTAAGATTCCACATATAAGTGATATCATACGGTATTTTTCTTTCTCATTCTGGCTTACTTCACTTAGATGGACCTGGAGATTGTTACTCTATGTTGCTGCAAATGGCATTATTTTATTCTTTTTATGGCTGAGTAGTATTCCATTATATAAATAAACCACAACTTTATCCAGTTATCTGTTGATGGACACTTAGGTTGCTTCCATGTCTTGGCTATTGTAAATAGTGCTGCTGTGAACATTGAGGTGTATGTATCTTTTTGAATTAGAGTCCCCCCTGGATATATGCCCAGGAGTGGGATTGCTGGATCATATGGTGAGATCATATTTTTAGTGTTTTGAGGAATCTCCATACTGTTTTCCATAATGGCTGCACCAAACTACGTTCCCACCAGCAGTGTAGGAGGGGTCCCATTTCTCCATAGCCTCTCCAGCATTTGTTTGTGGACTTTTGAATGATGGCCATTCTGACTGAGGTGAGGTGATACCTCATTGTAGTTTTGATTTGCATTTCTCTGATAATTAGTGATACTAAGCATTTCTTCATGTGCCTATTGGCCATTTATATGTCATTGGAGAATTGCTTGTTTAGGTCTTTGGCCATTTTGGTATTCGGTTATTTATTTTTTGTTTTTGTTGTTATTAAGTTGTATGAACTATTTATATATTCTGGAAATTAACCCTTTGTCAGTTGCATCATTTGCAAATATTTTCTCCCATTCTATAGGCTGTCGTTTTGTTTTGCTTATGGTTTCCTTTGCTGTGCAAAAGCTTATAAGTTTAATTAGGTCCCATTAGTTTTTGCTTATATTTCGATTGCCTGGGTAGACTGCCCTAGGAGAACATTGCTAAGATTTATGTCAGAGAATGTTTTGCCTGTGTTTTCTTCCAAGAGGTTTATAGTGTCTTATGTTTAAGTCTTTAAGCCATTTTGAGTTTATGTTTGTGAATGGTGTGAGTTTGAATACATCACTAATTTACATGCAGCTGTCTGGTTTTCCCAACACCACTTGCTGAAGAGACTGTCTTTTCTGCATTGTATATTCTTGCCTCCTTTGTTGAAGGTTAATTGACCAAAAGTCTGTGGGTTTATTTCTGGACTCTGTTCTGTTCCATTGATCCATATGTCTGTTTTTATGCCAATACCACACTGTTTTGATTACTGTAGCTCTGTAGTATTGTCTGAAGTCTGGAAGGGTTATTCCTTCAGCTTCATTCTTTTTCTTTTATATTGCTTTGGCAATTCTGGATCTTTCAGTAATTAACTAACCTTAAAATTTATTTGTTTCTGGTTTCTAGTAGTAAAATCTTCCGTTAGGTTTAATTTGGTAAGTTACGGGTACTTACAACTTAATTAA